TTGTCTCTGAGACATCATGGTATTATATTAAGATCTCTGTTGACTGTGAGGAGCAGCCAAGGGTGATTCAGGCTCTTCTTGGTGTTTTTTTATCATTGGCCCATTGGTGGAGAAGGAGGTGGTGGCTCTTGCTCAGGAAGTGAAGTTGCAGGAGGTGTGGGTGTAGTTTTATCTTATAGGGCCTGTTGCTGTCTCCCCCTCAGACAAAACTTACAATTAAATAACAATAAAAAAACTAAAAGCACATGGACAAAAAATACACCATGTAATCACACAAGAACAGTAACCGATAATAGAAAAAAGGGAGAAAAGAAGAAAAAAACAAGAAAACCTGCAATACCTGCAGATAGGGTATTAAGAGAAAATAGGTGGAGAAAGAGAATAATGAAGAAAAAAATTGAGGAAAAAAAAAAACAAGAAACTGTGTTAAGCAGAAGAAATAAAAAGGGGGGAAGAAAGAGAATTTAAATAATAAAAAAAAATTTTTACCAGAAGCAGGGAAAAGAAAAAAAAAAAAGGTGTAAACTGGGACCTGGGAGAGGAAGAATAGTAAAAGGACAAAGTATTATTAATAATAGTAATTTTAAAAGAGCCAAATACAAGCAAACTAAACACCAGGAAAAAGAAAGAGAAAAAGAAAAGAAAAAGAAAAAAATCAGCGGAGGACAAGGCAGGGCACCCAGGCTCTGTCCGAGCACACAGACTGGGATAGAGTTCCTGTGGGCCCAGAAGGTGGGTGGTAGTGGGGGGTGGCTGCACCTCCATTCACCAAGCGAGTGTGGGGTATAAGAGTAACAAGAGGATTGTTGCACCTATTCAGTTGTGCAGGTCCAGAATGTCCTTGGGGTTACTGGAAAGCAGTACCTCTTCTTAAGCCCCTGGAATCTTGAAGAGCGCTGTCTCTAAATATTCAAAATGGTCAAGCTGCTTGTAAACCTTCAAAATGGCGACACCCTCCAGACTGGCAAAAGTCCGCAGCTCAGCCCATCTTCCTTTTCACCACTGCTTTCCCTTTTATTCCACAGCCACTAGAGCAGTCCCCTGTGCAGTTTCTGGCTAGCAGGGCTGATTTTTAGATTAATTCTTAGGTCTTACCACCACTCAGGAATCTCCAAGCTGTCCATGCTGTCATGATCGCTCAGGATCACTGCCAGACCACAGGGCCGTATGTCTCCGTTTTTGGTATTTTCACGCAAATTCTTCTGCTAGTTGGGGTTTAGTCCACATCTATATCCTTCCCTTCAAGGTTCAGGGGTCCAGAATTATCTTCTCTGTCTGTGTTAATTGATTTCCCTTTTCTTTGTTGAAGAGGGTCTGTGCAGACTTTCTGCCTATTCCACCATCTTGGAATCGAGCCCTACTTCCTTCTTTTTAAAACATTATTCCTTTGGCTTCTGTGAATTATATTCTCCTGACTATTTTTTTGGATTCCCTGGGTGGTGCTTGGCTGTCAACCAAAGAGTTGTGAAGATTAAAATCAACCAAGACTCCCTACAAAAGCACTACCATTGAGTCAAATCTGACTCATAGCAACCACTAGTAGATTTCCAAGGCTGTAAATCTTCTTCCCACAGACCAGCTGCTGGGTTTGAACTGTTGACCTTCTGGTGAGCAGCCAAATGTGGATACTACACCAACAGAGCTCCTTATGCCAACCCAGATGGGCCTTGAAAGAAAGGGCTGATGACCTACTTATGCAAAATCAACTACTGAAAATCCTATGGAATACAACTCTATTCTGACACATATGGGGTCATTATGAATTGCCATTCACTTGTCAGCACCCGGTTTACTGGTAGGCTATTGTTTTACCTCTTTGACTGACTCTTTTTCTTTATTCAGCCACTGAATATTGGAGTACCTCAACCTTTCATTTTATGCTTTCCTTTTTCTTTTCTTCTTCTTTTTTTTTCCTTACTCTAAAATTAAGTTTCTGTTTTAATTTTCTAATGTCAGAGTTTCTCTTTTTGCTAGTATCTAGCACTATGTTTTGATTTCCATTTCTTCCTTCTCTCCCTGCTGCCTTCCTACTTCTTTATCTCCCTCTTCTCCAGTTTTCCCTTCCAATTTAAGAATTGACAGTCTCTCTGTGGATGAATCTTTGCTATTCTCTGTCAAAACTTCCTGACCCACAATGGCTATTCTGCTGGATTTTGTCTCTACATATTGCTTATTTCTACCTGTTTCATTGTGATTATTGGACACTCATTCTTGCTGAACTTCCTTTTAATAAATATTAGTTAGAATGCTAATTATGATCTGTCATCTTATTCTTTGGATCTTACTGACCTCCCCACTGGCCATTACTTTCCAGCTTGGTCTATTCCAAAGGTTTTATATAACCAAGTGGGTCTCAGTATTATCCATGGAGACTGAAAATACCACCTTTATGGACTATTATGTAATAACATTTGTGAATTAGTGGTAAGGGACATTAGCCTTTGAGAGAAAATTTCTGTCTTTCCATAATTTATCACAGTGAGGACTTTAGGGAAGCAAGTATTTTAGTATTACTTTGAAATATTTTGAATTCATTTAATTTATCCTCCTGTTTTATTATTATCAAACTTACTTAAAATTATATTTATTAAAAGAATAAGCTGAATATTGAATTTCAGTTTTGAAATGTTATAGCCAACAGTAAACTATTATTCTGTTGTTGCATAATTGGTTTTGTAAGTGTATGTGTAAAGTAATATATCAGTATTTTACTGTAATTATAGATAAGGATAATAGTCTAATAATTACTGAGTTATGATAAATTAGATTATAAAATTTATTTTGCGGTTTGGGGAGCAGAAGGTGTAGTTCTTAAAGTAACTGCTTCATTTTATTATTTCAGTTAAGTACAGATCAAAGTTTTTTAGAAGAAGAGCTTCCAGTACCTGATAAAACAGTCTCTTCAAGCATTGCACAAGTAATAAAGCAATTGCAAAAACTTGAACAGCTGAGTAATCAGTTTAAACATGGGTCTAAATATTCCTTGAAAACCATATTATCTAAACCCACGTAAGTAAAATATAAGAATTAATAGAATTACAACCAATAAGATATATTATTAGCATTGAATATAAGATAATGGTTTAGTTATTATGGGTTTATGTAAAGCTTCTAAAGCAAAGTGTAAGATGTAGTCATCTTGCTCTGACTAGAGATGTCCTATTGAAATATTCCATAGTCTGAAATGGCACTGTCCAATATGATAGCCACAAACCACATATGAGGGAGCTCTGGTGGCAGAGTTCCTAAGGCCCTTGACTGCTAACCAGAAGGCTGGTCGTTCAAACCCACCAGCCACTCCTCAGAAGGAAGATTGGGCAATCTACTTCCGTAGAGATACCACCTCAGAAACCCAAGGAGGGGTTGCTGTGAGCTGGGATCAACTCCATGGGAGTGAGTTTGTTTTTTTTTTTGTTTTGAGACACATATGGGTATGAAGATTACATTAGATTAAATAAAGAATTCAGTTTCTTAGTCACAATAGCCACATTTGAAGTGCTCTGTAGCCACCAAATCAAACCAAATGCACTGCCGTGGAGTCAGTCCTGACTCATAGCGACCCCTCCTTGGGTTTCCCAGGTGGTATCACTACAGAAGTAGATTGCCCAACCTTCTGTCTGAGGAGTGGCTGGTGGGTTTGAACTGCCAGCCTTCTGGTTGTTGTTGTTGTTGTTGTTATGTGCCGTCGAGTCAGCCCTGACTCATAGCGACCCCTCCTTGGGTTTCCGAGGCAGTATCACTACAGAAGTAGGATTGCCCAACCTTCCTTCCGAGGAGTGGCTGGTGGGTTTGAACCGCCAGCCTTCTGGTTAGCAGTCAAGTGCCTTAGCCACTATGGTTAGCAGTCAAAAAATGCTTTAGACACTATGCCACCAGAGCGCCTTCTGTAGCCACTTGAGGCTGTTGTTAAAAAGTTCTATTGGGGATTTTTGGCTTTGAAAGATCTGAATTATAAATTCTTCTCTCAGTTTGACCAGGTGGCTACAGATAAAAAATAAGAAATTATTTAAGGTTTAATTAAATATTTCATTTTTAATGAGCACCTTCATAAAAAATTGTATGGATCTGTTTATATGAAATATCTAGAATAGGCATGTATGCAGACCTGAGGTTTTTGGTGGTTACCAGGGGCAAATGGGAGGGAGTGGGAAAAGAGGACTCATTGCTTAGGGCACACAGGCCTTCAGTTAAAGGTGGTGGAAAATTTGGAAATGGATAATAGTGATGGTTGCACAAATGATGAATACAATTAATGTCACTAAATTTTACATGTGAAGAATTTTGAAATGGCAAATGTTTTGTTACAAACATTTACTACACACACACACAAAAGAGAAAATGTCAAAGGAAAAAATAAAAGTAAGTAAGGTAGGGACAGGGATATAGTCTAAAGAATAAGTTTTCAAGATTTTAATTGAGAAAAGTTTTTTTTTTTTTTTTGGACTTGAGAGGGGAGTATTCAAAGGAATGATTACAATGATACCTCAATATTTTTTGAAAGTTTTCATTTTTGATAATTGAATTTTAACTGTATTGAAGTTAATAGACGAGAAATCACCAACATAAAATATCTTTGGGGTGAGGGTAGCGGTAGTTAAGTGGGAATCTCAGTAAGTCACACATAGATTTTTTAGTTCATTTCCATGATCTGTAGCATTTGATGAATAACATAAATACTGACTCTTCCCCTTATCAGACCATCTAATTATCTTCCTACCTCTCTAAACTTTCTTTATATAATTTTTGCTAACTCTTCTTTTTCTCTTCAGCTCAATAACTGTGAGCATTCCTTATTTCCACCTTAGCTTTATTCTCTTTTTATCCTTTTTAACAAAGAACAAATATGTTTTTACTTGTATACCTGTGAACTCTATAGTGATGCTTTCCAAATGTGTATGCTAAGTTCTGGCTCACTTCTAAGTCCCAAATACATATTTCTAGTTATATTGGATATTTCCATTTGGATGTTTTGCTATCATTTGAAGTACTGTAAAGCACTTCACATTCTTTTCTTTCTTTAGTGCTATATTATTTTTCTAGTCATCAATTATTCTTCTTTCTTCCTAAGACCTCATTTTAATCGAATACTAAATATGTATTTTTTCACAATGTATTATTATTATTATTAATCTTTGAGGCTTTTATTTTAGTTGAGATGCCTATCATCTCAACCTAAATCATTAAAATTGTCTACCAACTATTTTTCCTATCATCAAAATTTCTCATCTCTATTTCATCCCACCTCTATACTTAAACCAGATATTTTTTCCCTAAAAATAACACCTTTGAGACAAGAGGGGAGCTAAGCATCCACCCTCACATACAACATCACTGAAGTGGTAGGAGATAGAAGTACTTGGTACTCTGCTTCTCACATCCCTCACTTCACCTGGTGTGAGTAATGCCTAGCAGGGAGCTGAGTTCCTACTCCCCCCCAGCAGCAATAAAGTGGTATGAGTCAACCCTCAACTTTCCTGTCCCTAGTGTAAGAAATCAGTGAGAAGTTGAGATTAAACTTCCACTTGGAGACATTGAGGTTGTGCAAGGCAGTGCCCTACTTTCACCAGGAAGGTGTCAACTAATAAAAAACTCTGTCCATCTGTGATAAGTCAGTGAGCTCTACTTTTGCCATGGTGGTGTCACTGGGGCCCAGTAGGAAGCTTAGCATACAGGACACCAGTCCTCAAGAAGGAGAGGTGTCTTGTGTATGTTTTCACCACAGTAAAAGTAATAAATCAGTAAACAAATAAATAAACAAACATATCATTCACACACACACACACACACACACACACACAAGGAGTTGTGTTAAATAATGGGACTGAAAAAATTTCAAAGAAATAGTGGTTGAAAACTCCTCAAATTTGTTTAAAGACATACATCTACAGATTTAAAAAGTTGAGTGAAACTTAAATAGGATAAATGCAAAGAAATCCATATTAGTACCAGTTTCATAATTAAATTTCTGAAAACTACAGAGAGGAAATTTTGAAAGCAGCAAGAAAGAAACTACACATTAATTACATGGAAACACCAGTTAGAATGTGCGAACTCACTCACCGTCATCTAGTGGATTCCGACTCATAGTGACCCCTCCTTGGGTTTCTGAGGTGGTATCTCTATGGAAGTAAATTGCCCAGTCTTCCTTCCGAGGAGTGGCTGGTGGGTTTGAACTGCCAGCCTTCTGGTTAGCAGTCAAATGCCTTAGTCACTATGTCACTATGAAGTGCACAAAATTTTACAATTACTGAAACAAAAATATTGTCAACTGAAAATTCTATATTTGGTAAATATATTTCAAGAATAAGGGGAAAATAAAGATATTCTCAAACAAAGGAGACCTAAAAGAAGTTGTTACTAGCAAATTTACTCTTAAAGAGTGGCTAAAGGAAATTCTTTAAACAGATATGAAATGACAACAGAAGAAGGCTTGGAACATCAAAAAGAAAAGCATTGGAATGGGTAAAAATAGGGTTAATTATAACAGATTATCCATCATCAAATGAATTTCTTTAAATTCAAAAGCAAAACATTATACTACCAACTGGTGTGTTGCTCTGTGTATGAAGATTAAATACTTAAGATAATTTAATCATATTTTAAAACTGGGGAGGACAACTCATTGCCATAGAATTGATTCGGACTCATAGCAACCCTATAAGACAAAGTAGAATTGCCCCATAGGGTTTCCAAGGCTGTAATTTTTATGGAAGCATACTGTTACATCTTTATCCCATGGAGCAGCTGGTGGGTGGGTTTGAACCACTGACCTTTCAGTTATCAGGCCAGTGCTTAACCATCGTACCACCAGGGTTCTGTAATGGGGAGGATAGGATAACCTAAATGGAAGTTAGGTTTTTACACATTAATCAAAGTAATAAAACATTGATGCCAGTAAAGTGTGATAAATTATGTATGTATATTGTGATATGCAAAGGAACCACTTAAGATAAATCTACAGAGTGATATACTCAAAAACATGATAAATAAATAAAAATTGAATCCTGAAAATATTAAGTAACCTACAAGGAGGTAAGAAAAGAAAAATAGAGGAATGAGAAATAGAGAAAACAAATGATAAAAAAGGCAGACTTAACCCGTGTCAATAATTACCTTAAATGCAAGTGGTCTGAATATACCAATTAAAAGAAATTGGTAGAGTGGGTGAATAAGCATGACATAAGCAACAATATATTGTCTATGAGAAACTGACTTCAAATATAACAACACAAGTAGGCAGAAAGTAAAAGGATGAAAAAAGAAATACCATACTAATATTTATTTAAAAAGCAAAAGTGACCATATTAATATAGGTAAAGTAGACTTCAGAGCAAAGGAAATTATTACCAACAAAGAGAGACATTATATATGATAAAAAAGTCAATCCATCAAAAGACATGTTGTTGTTATGTGCCGTCAAGTCGGACCCGACTCACAGCGACCCCTCCTTGGGTTTCCAAGGCAGTATCACTACAGAAGTAGATTGCTCAACCTTCCTTCTGAGGAGTGGCTGGTGGGTTTGAACTCCCAACATTCTGTTTAGCCATCAAGTGCCTTAGCCTCTGTACTACCAGAGCTCCTATCAAAAGACATAGTGATCCTAAATGTGTACACACTAAGCAGTAAAGCCTCAAAATGCATTAAACAAAAACTGATGGAGATGAATGGAGAAATAAACAATCCACATACATAGATGGGAATTTCAGCACCTTGTTCTTAGCAATTGATGTAACTACTAAACAGAAAATCAATAGGGATCCCTAAGAACTGAACAACACAGTCAACCAATAGAATTGAATCGACATATGTAAAACATGCTACACAACAACAATTTTTTTTTAAGTCCCCCTGGAACAGTCACCAAGCTAGACCATATCCTGGGCTAAAAAGCAAACCTCAACAAATTTAAAAAAGTTGAAATCATATAGAGTATATTCTCTGATCATAGTAGAATCAAACTAGAAATCTATAACAGAAAGACAACAAGGAAATCTTTAAACATTTAGATA